CAAGAGCATCCTGCCATTAAGTGATTATAGGCTTCCACGAGGTAACCCGCTAAGGATAGCACACCAGAGACCAAGGACTCGAGTGCGTTCACATTTCTTCTCGCTTCGAGTTTGCCGTCTCTGGAACGCTTTACCGGCGGCCGTAACTACAGCTCCATCTGTGGAGATTTTTAAGCGGAAGCTGGACAATCATGCAGAAATGCATGGTTTGTGTCTCAATGGCTTACCCTCTTAAAATTTGAAACCACATTGTCAATGGATAAGCATACAAGCTAAATCTTCACGACCCGTCCTGTCTTCTCCCACTGTACCGACTACTCTATCTTTCTTTCTTTATTATTTCACTTATCTCAACCTATATTATCTACACTACAACCTATTATTATCATTATTATTATTATTATTACTCTACTTTTATGACTATACCGAATGACCGACGGGTGTTAGGTCAAACTCCATTCACGGCAGCAGCTGAGTCCTAACATACTGCACACTACAAACCACAATCTTGACCAATCCTCGCATCACTCCTCCTGGAGTCTACCAGAGCTAAAGCAGTCGAGTGGCGGGATTTACTACGCATAAGTTCACCGAAGATCTGGAACCTCTACCTTAAAATCAAGAAGCGAGCTCAAAGAAATCACTGGTTTATACTAGCTCGTAATCAGGATATTGGATATTGGATAGGTAACAAGTATTTTCAGCATCCGTTATCGTTTTTCACAAGCTAGCATAAGCCAACGTGGTCTAATTGCGATCGAATTTGAAATCAGACTGGTTTACAATAACTCGTGAAAAACATAAGCTATTAGATACTGTGAGCTACTTGTAATCAATCTCTACACCAGTCTCGTGAGTGTCTACCAAAGCCACACAGAAGTTTGAGGTTTTCGGTTTACAATATATTTAGGATAGTAGGCTATATGCCTGTGTTAATCCTTTCGATTTGTTACACACAGGAGGTTCAATCTCACCTTGAATGAATCAACGGATGGCGCTGATACGACGTGTTCCGGTATGGAGTTCCAATGGTGCACAATTCGATGCGAAAAACGGATCTCCAGACGCAGACGATTCGACCGTGGTTTTTGAACCTTGAGGTGATGTCCTCGCAATTGGTTGGTGCTAGAAGGAAGAAGTGAATTAGATAAATTAGCTCCAAAATCATTTCTTAGGATACGGTATGCTAGTATTAGGTCACCCCTAAGCCGTCTGTATGACAGTGGAAATAAACCCAGTCGACTTAACCTCTCCTCATATGAGAAGGTTGAGAAACCCTTTATTAGCTTAGTTCCTACTCTTTGCACCCTTTCTAATAAGTCTATTTCGTATTTGAAACACTGGCTCGCTGCCTGGATCCCATATTCCAAATGAGGTCTGATATAAGTCGGATATAATATACGAAATATTTCAGCGTCAAAATTCGCAAAAGCCTTGCGTGTGGCCCATAATATTCGAAAAACCTTAGTGGCTGCAGCTCTACAGTTTGTTACTGTTTTCAAGTCATGCTGCACAACCACTCCCAAGTCCTTGTACTCAGTGACCACTGGGAGAGCAATGCCATTCATTGAGTAATTGTGCACGTGACTATGAGATACATGCATAACTACACTCTTGCTTAAGTTAATCTCCAAGGCCCAGTGCTTACACCAATCACTTAACAAGCTTATATCTTCCTGCAAAGCAAGTTGATCACTGTCATCGTGTAAAGCCCTCCATATCTTGATGTCATCAGCAAACAGTGAGCAGGATGACTTAACTACCGATGGAATCTCATTAACATGAATCAGGAAAAGAAGTGGGCCTAGAATTGTACCCTGAGGAACGCCACTCCTAACCGATTCCCATGTTGATAAAACCCCGTTAACTCGTACTCTTTGTCTTCTGTCCTTTAGAAAGTCTTGAATCCAGTCGGTAACCACTTTATTGATTCCCAGACTACCTAACTTTACTAGAAGACCTGAATGAGAAACCCTGTCAAACGCCTTGCTAAGGTCGATGAATATGGCATCCACCGGTATATTAGCATCAGCTGAGCTTGCCCAACTTTCTCTGGCCAAAAGAAGGTTGGTCAAGCAAGAATGACCTGCTCTAAAACCATGCTGTTCCACAGCGAAAAGTTTGTTCCCTTCAATGAACTGAATGATAGCATCACGAATTATTCTTTCTAGTAGTTTAACAACAATACTGGTCAAACTAACAGGACGATAGTTCTGAACTAAGTTTCTAGATCCGGTTTTGAAGACCGGACTAATGATGGCATCTTTCCAGTCAGTCTCTTGGACATTTAGACTGGTCCAGAGACATATTGAAGATTACCGACAATGGCTCGGCTATGTTTTCAGCCAATGCTGTTAATATACGTGGGTGGAGTTCATCAGGGCCACTGGACTTACCAGGATTGAGCCTTAGAAGCCACTTTAGGACAGTATCCTTTCCAATGTATAAGGGTGCCATTTTCAAGTTACCTTCTGGAAAAGTTACAAAGCTGGTATCAAGATTATCAGAGAATACTTGACTAAAGTGCTTGGACAAAGCCTCAGCCTTAGTCAAGTTATCCTCAGCCATGTTAGTCTGGTCATCTTCAAGCATAAGAGGTGGGATAGCATCACTCTTACGTGTTCTTCTCTTGATATATGAAAATAAATATTATGAAAATAATGACAGTGCACTTCTGCGTCTGAATCCTACACCCACTTTTTCGCCCAACATAGATATTTTAAGTTCATTAAACGTGTAGTTACAACAAACTACAATGATAAATTTTTATATTATTGGAAGTACATGATAGACATTTTTACACAGGACAATAATATTAGCTCACACAATATAAAAGTTAGCATAACGGGAATAGTTAGTTAGTGCACCAAAATAACTATAATTACTAAACAGAATATAAATGTATATATACATATTAATCACTCCCTAAGTACTCCACTTGCTTTCTTTTGCGTTGTTGTTGTTTGTCTTCTTTTGTCTCTCACCATTTCAGCTTCTATTTGACTTTTTGAATGAGAATGAAGAATGTAGATATTTGCCCATTTACAATGACAAATGATCTGCAAACATTATTGATCCCATATCTTACAATTCCCTCGTGAATTGCGCATTGCCTTCACCAACGACGCAACCTGGATTACAGTTGTGAAATATACCTTTATACCAATAAAAAAGTATTGATTTATAATACTTCACGATTGTAACTTACAACATAACTGATTGTATCTGCGAAAATAGCTTGCATTTCTTGAAAACACCCGTTTATAAGAAAATACAGACTGTCATTATTATTAGCCTACCTTGAGTACTATTCACTTGTGATGTAACGATGAAAATGCTGACAAAAGTATACAAGTGTATTACTTATTTTAAATTATTACCAAATTTGGATATAAATCAAGAATAAGACTCGATGCCGTGCACATGAAAGTTATGTGGAGGAATTACTTCAAGCTTTATTTTTTTCCCAAGTATTTGTAATCCATCCAAAACATACTTGGGTTTTCTTTGTTAATGCGAAGACAATATTTCTATATTTCTTGATGTGTTCCATTGAATGACTAGTTATCATATTGTTCCCATAGACAAATGAATGCAACCTTATAATTTTACCATGAACCAAATTTATGTAATTTAAATAATACTTATCCATGCCTGTACAATTGGTGTGTCCTACACAGGTAGGAAAAAATGTATTTTATTAAATTACTATTATTAAATATGCTTACTAATCGTATATGTAATTTATCATATTGATGATGCCTGTAAACTGGCGTCCCTCATGTACAAAATGAGAATATACTATTATTATTATCAGAGAATACTTGACTAAAGTGCTTGGACAAAGCCTCAGCCTTAGTCAAGTTATCCTCAGCCATGTTTGTCTGGTCATCCTCAAGCATAAGGGGTGGGATATCATCATTCTTACGTGTTCTTCTCTAGATATATGAGTAGAGTCTTTTTGGGCAGCCTGGTACACTTTTACCTAACTGGGTTTCGTAAGCTATCCTTGACTGGTGAATCAAGGTTTTCCACTGGTTTCTGGTTTCATAGTATTTCAGCCGGAACTGCTGAAGCCCAGTAGAAACAAAGAGATTCCAGAACCTTTTTCTCCGTCTTAGGATGTCAAAATAAATTCTCATAGTACAGTACATGAGGGACACCAGTTTACAGGCATCATCAAATTGTTACAGAAATAGAACCATATAATTCAATCACAATTTACAGACAGTAGCAAGATATGCTTTACATGTTCGCTGGAGATTATACATACACTTGATAAATGTTAATCCCAGTAGTATAAAACAGCCTTTTCACTTATATACAATCATTTCTGTGCGAAGTTGGAAAAATCTGCTAGATCGTCAGTGAGTGCAACACAACAGGAAATACAGGAATATTGTCTTCGCATTAACAAAAAAACCAGGTCTTTGGTGGATGGATTATAAGTGCCTGGGAAAAAAATAAAGCTTGAAGTAAATATTCATACATAACTTTGTTGTGTGCAGAGTCCTCGAATTATAGTTCATTGATGTGTTATTTTGAAATCAGTGATGTGTTTATCTCATTTGATCTGCAATGTCATTGTTGGGAGTAAATACATAAGCTTCAGACGCATTAATTAATGGATTTCTACTGCTTGTGGGTATTTTCTTAGCGTGAGGAAGGTTTATGAAATTCAGCTGTTCCGACAGGAGTTGAGAATATTAACTGCTCAACAACATTATTGATATAAGTTCATCACATTATCTAAGGAAAGGTGGGTTGCAGTTGATGAGGGACATATGGTGCCCAACGAGCGTACATCTGTCCATGTGATGTTGTGGTGAGTTATACCTTTTTCATGTTACCGGTTTATGTCCATTTTATTCCACTTATTGTGTTGGGTAGTAGTTTTACAAACGAGATTTCTTGTCTGTTTGAGGATACGTATCTTAACCGTTAATATTTTATCTAGAATTATAAATATAGTCAAAAATCAACAGGTGTAGTATTTAAGCTTATACATTAAATGGACCTATAATTTCGGAGGCTCTCAGATAGGAACTAGAACTACTATCGTTTGCAAACTCTTGTAGTTTGTCATTAAGCACCTTTTTGAAGGAGGCCAGTGTACTTGCTTGACGCATTTCCATTGGCAGTTTATTCCATATCTGTGCATACCTAATCAAGTAAAACTTTTGCCTGGTGGCTGTTTTACATTGTTCGATAGCTACTGTACCCTTAGTGTGTCTTAGTTTGTAGCCATTGTCATCTGAAAGTCGAGTGCCATTAGTGGAGGTAAAAACTAAGTGGTTTAGAAGCTTATAGTAAAGTGTTAAGTTTAGTCTCAGGCGTCTTAGCCATAGTGTTTCTAGTCCTAGGGTATCACATCTAGTGGAGTTGTTCGCACGATTTTCGGTTCCGAGTAATTTTAACGTGAAGTACCTCTGCACTCCCTCGACTTTCAATTTGTCCTCTATGCGTATGCTACTATACATGAATGAACAGTAATCAAATAAAGGACGCACACAAACCTTGTACAACAGAATTCTAGACTCATTTCTGTAGAAGTTCCTGAGTAGAAAGCCGATAAGTCTGCGTGACTTTGACACTTGTGTGGAGATATGTTCAGAAAATGATAAGTTATGTGAATATTTCAGCCCTAGGTCCAGTACAGATTCCAGCCGTTGAAGTGCATGGCCTTGAATTGTCAGGTCAAGTTCTAAATTGTTGCAACCTATGCAGAGCCAGCCACATTTTTCGACATTAAATTGGAGTTGCCAGGTGTCACACCATCTATCCATTTTTTCTAATTCTTGCTGTATGGCGTTTACTGTTATTCCAAGATCTGTGTTCTTGCATTTATACGTCACTTTTAAGTCATCTGCATATAGTATTGGTTTACCTACACTAAAGCATTCACAGATACTGTTTATATATATTATGAATAAGAGTGGGCCTAATACACTTCCCTGGATCACACCACTACTTACTGGTTTAGGCCTTGAGATTATCCAGCCAACTTTCGTTGTCTGACTTCGGCCACAGAGAAATTATTTTATCCAGCTCAGGAGAGGATCACATATCCCTAGTGAGCATAACCTGCTGACTAACAGATTATGGGGAACTCTGTCGAAGGCTTTTGTTATATCGAAATATAGTACAATTACTAGTTCTCTGTTGTCCCTACTTCGTGTAACTTCGTTGAAAAAGTCTATGTGACAGGTCACACATGATCTCTTTTTGAGAAATCCGTGTTGTGATGGATTGATAAGTTCATGTTCTAGTAAGTTGTCTGACCCTTGGTCTTTAACCACTTTCTCCATTATTCGGGATATTACCGGTGTTATATTGATAGGTCTATAGTTGCATACACTGGTTTTGGCCCCTGCTTTGTGCTTAGGTAATATGTATGTGGTTTTCCACACTTCAGGATAAGTTCCAGTTTCCAACGAGAGAGTAAATATTCTAAGTAACAAGACTACCATTTCCGTGCTACCATTTTTGTACATGACAGATGGTATGTCATCTGTTCCAGTACTACCATTAGACTTCAAAGTCTTAATCGCTGAGTCTATATTTTGTATATTAAAGTCTATTTCGCCTAATTTGTAGTTACTTTTGCAGGTCATTTGGAAATTTGGGGTCGGGTGCACTCTGGCGTCATTGCAAAACCACTCATTGAGGAGTTCACTTATAACCTGGGGATCATTGTATATTATACCCTTATGTTCCAAGCTGCTTACAGTATTGTCTTTACTGCTTTTTAGGCGTTTCTGCAATATCCTACAAAGTTCCTGAGTTTTGGAGTTACCCACAAGCGCTTTATTTTCTTCAAGTTGTGACATCATTTTGTGTTTATCTTCAAGCCGTTTAAGAGTTTCATGTATTTGGTTTAATACATTAAATTCCTTAAATACATGGTATCTCCATTTTAATTTCTTTAGTTTTAGTAGCGTTTTGCGGTCTATAAATAGAGTTTGTGTCTTTAGAGCAGATTTTAGGGGCGCGATTGTGTCTCTTGCTGAGCCAATTGTTTTGTAGAAAATATCAAGTGATACTTCCAAGTTATTGTTGATGAAGTATTCTTCCCAGTCAGAACTTCTCAGCAGATCTGATAGGAATTCCCAATCGGCATTCTTATAGTCCCTATATTGATAGTGCACCGGGGAATTTTTAGGTGTGTGTTTAGTTGTTAGTCGGAGGGGTAGCGTGCAGTACAATATGTTGTGATCACTGTTATCAAGTTTATTTCCTACCTCTATTGGGATGGGCTCTATTTCATGACAAAGAATTAAGTCAAGAGTGTTTTCATTTCTTGTAGGGAGGCGTACGCACTGCTTCCATCCGCCTACGTCTAAAGCTTGCAGTAGCTCGTCATGGATTCTAGGTCCTGTACAGGTATCCCAGTTTACTCCAGGTAAGTTGAAATCGCCACAGACTACTTTGTAGTCAAAGTCCAGCGAGGCTACATGCTCTAGTATTTCTCCAATAGTTATATCAGTCATTTCAGAGCTGTTAGGGGGTCTGTATATACATCCCACGAGAATTTTATTTTCGTTTGTGTGGATGCTTATCCACTTAGATTCTGGTAGTTTCTCAGTAGTTTGGTTATTAGAAGTATTGGAGTTAGTGGATTTAGAGGCATATATTAAGCAGCCGCCTCCTCTTTTGTCAACTCTATCGTTCCTATAGATGTCGTAGTTGTCTATTACTAGCTTTGAGTCAGGTATATCAGTAGTAAGCCAGGTTTCAGTCACCATTATTAGTGTTGGCCGTTCTATGTATGCCAGGCAGCGAAGCGATGTTATTTTATTAAGGAGAGATCTAGCATTCAGGAGCATAATCGTTAGTAAACCAGAGTTATTGGAGGAGAGGTTAACATGGTTACTTGTTACTATCCCTACGTTATGTTTGGAGGGGCTCTGAGGTGAGACAGAGTCAGTGTGTGTACTATTTCCTGGATGAATTGTGCAGTGAGTGGGGCTATTGTTTGCTGCATCCGAAAATAATCCTGTTGCATGTTTTGACTTTTAGCATCCATGGGTGGGCATCTGCGTTCATTTACTGGTGATATATAGTTTGGCTTGCAATTTGCGTTGTAGTTTGCTGGACCTAGGTACCCTGTGTTAAGATTACCTTGGTAGTTGTACCTCATGGGTCTTTCATAGTCGTATGCATATTGGCTCACATCACATGTGTGGGTGAAGTTATTGAGAGGGTCAAGTGTCGATCTATAATCAATATGTTGCTGAGGTTTAACATAGATAGTGTGAGAGTCTGGACGAGAATATTCATTAATATGGTGCCTATATGAGTCCCGTTTAGTGCTCAATATATCCTGATGACCCATTCTACGTTGCATTCCCAAGTAATGCGCGTTGCTAGGCATATTACTCCTAGTTCGGAAAGGGGTGTTCTTTCTCACATGATGGATGACGTTTTTGGGAATATGGTTTTTTACCCATGCATTGTCTTTTTTTAGACTGACATGTTGCTTATTAGACTTATTGAGAGGGAGGTATGTCGAAGTCTAGAGTGGGACTCTAGGCTTTGTCGTCTTTCTTGCAGTTTCTACTGCGGGACTCTCGGGCTTGCATCCAGATTGAGTGTGGTCTGCCAGTGGTTTCTGGTCAGCCATAGTTTGTGAGTCAATGTCAACCTCATGTATGTCAACAGGTTTTCCAGATGTGCTCTCATGTACTTTAAGATTGCACCCAGTGACACTGCTCTTACTGAGTTTCGAGTCGCTTTTACTTGCCGATTTTTTCCCCAACACTATACAGGTGACTTGCTGTGCTTCAGTGTCCGTCGACACTTTAGCACTGATACCAGGTGCATTTCTCGGTGTGTTCAACTTTGTATCGAAGGAGTTCTTGGTTGCTTGCCTTTGGTGAGTTGTTTTATCCGAGACTACTTTAATAGTCTTGAATTTAGTGGCAGTAGCCAGAAGATCTTCGGCCTTCTTAAATCGTTCAGCTATTATGTAGCTGTCGAACCTAAAGAGTATAGGACATGGATGCTTTAGGTCTTTTTTACTTAGGCGAATGCACTGACAAGGTGCACTCAAGAGATTTGCAGCCTTCAACAATGAGTGCTGGACCGACTTTGTGGGCTCGCTATCTGGTACATTATACACTATAGCGTTTTGTTTCGAAGCCAGCCTTTCAACAACTTCGCTGGATAGAAAGTCAATGGCGTTTTCTAACTCCCTCGCATTTTCTGAGTCAGTAGGCATCATTCTAGAGGTCATATTAAAAAGCTTTAGGATTGTAGGATCCTGCAGTTCCTTTTTCATAAGTGAGATAGTTTCGAGTATAAATTCTAATGAACTTAACTTCGTTTTTAATTCATCTATCTGTAGCTGCATCTCTTTAATTATGCATGTTAAGTAAGAGAGCTCTACTTTTTCAGACAGAACATCTTCCACCTGTATTACAGGGGTCAGAGTTATGTTCGAGTCTTTTATGTTGGGTGAACTACTAATAATAACGGGTGGTAATGTGTTATTAGACGAGCTGGTGCTATTTTCTAAATTACTGGTGTTCACACGAACACTCGTTTTAGAATTTCGGCCCATCGTTATTAAAGATCAATCAACAGTAAGCAATAAATGAATATAAACGAAAACACGTGCAAAAGTGTCACCTGGTTCGAACGTACCGGGCAGTATTAATAATAATAACAATAATAATAATTTTTGCTTTATTCCTAGAACAGTATTAATGATACAGCAAGGAATTTTCAGCATTCAGTACAATATTGCATCTAATTTACTCAAAAACGACAACAACAAAAAATAAATAAACGAAATAATTAATACATAATAATGATAACAAAACGTTTTTATAGCACCTATGTAGCAATTACAGTATACGATAAGGAGAAAAATACGCATAAAGTATGAAATTATAGTAATAATAGTAATAACAACTAAAATAAAAATAGCAAAGTTGTAATTAAATGATAGAAAGGGGACACCATAGAATTACAGAAAGATGAACAATGAAAGGGTCGATTCACTATGCTAATTACATAGTAACTTATATGTTTCACGTCTAACAGAGTCTTCATCACATAAAATACGGGCTAAATACGGTATTTTAGAATTTTTGTACTTAGTGGTACGAGCATATAATTTCTTATATTGACTTCTCGTTCTACCTGATGATATACAAGGGGATAGTTGTGAATAAAGAGGGTGCAGAGGGTCTGACAGTACGGCCTTTGCCCAATTTGTACAGGAATTTACGTGTCTCTCGACTATAGTATTGGCGAGCTCACGCAGTGGCAAACCACAAGCCCTACTCACAGCATTTAATATCCTTCGTAATATGACATAGTCTTTTTTAAGAAGCCCAGGAAAGATTAATGGAGAACAATAGAGTACAATAGGTAAAATACAGGAGTTTACAAACTTCAGAAGTAAAGGTTGGTCGATACCTGATTGTCTTAACTTTTTAATGTAGAAAATAAGACGAAGCATTTTCTTAGAGATGACCATGAAAGGTCAGAGGAAAGAACTAATCCAAGGTATTTAATGCTTGACTTGGTTTCAATTTCAGTGCCATCTATGCTTCAGGCATCATGGAAACTAACTAGTTCATGTATGTCACGTCGATGCTTGAAGGTAAAGTTAACTGCCTGACATTTGGAAGGATTTAACATAAGACCATTTGACTAAGACCACTTGCTGATGTCCAACAGAAAGCTATTCAGTTTGGAGCAGTCAGACTCGGAAGTGACAGGCAGTGATACAGTCAGATCATCAGCATATTTGACAAAATTAGTTTCGTTTAAATGT